TTAAAAATCTTCCAATACTTTACACCACAAGAAGTTCAGAAATAAAAGACGTGGTACAACTGTAATGGAGCCAGAAAAGAAAACACATAATGGAACGACAGCCTCAAGACAACTAATTAGACTTCTACTCAAGACAAAAGTCAACCACAAGAGTGAGAAAGTGCAAGAGAGAAATGCAAAATGCCTGAAAGCAAAAAAGAAAGCTAACCTCACCTTGACAAGGTTTCTGCAAGCAGAAAGGGAGCTCACACAGGCAACTTCGGAAAAGCAGAACTTAATCTGCAGCACATATTTGTTCTTAGTTGCTCAAAAAAAAAGGGCCATTTATGTGGGATACTAACACCATTTATTCAGAAGTCTCATTTCTAAATATCAAACTGATGTTTGAGAGGGCTGAGGCACTGGAACGGGTTGCCCAAAGAAGTGGTAAATGCCCCATCCCTGGCAGTGCTCAAGGCCAGGTTGGACACAGCCTTGGGTGACACGGTCTAGTGTGAGGCATCCCTGCCCCATGGCAGGGAGTTGGAACTAAATGATCTTAAGGTCCTTTCCAACCCAAACCTTTCTGTGTTTCTGTGAACTGAGCCTTGCTTTAGACTACCACAGGAAGAAAAAAAAAAGGGGAGTCTGTATTGTAGATTTCTCTTTAGGGAAACATAAGTATCTTGGATTTCAGGAACGGCTCTGCTTGGAGCAGCAGCTAATATCCTAACCCCAATTTCCTTGAGCATTACTCAAGCAGTAGCATTTTTATTTTAAACCCCCTTAGTCCTCCTCCCCCACCAGTATTTCTCTTCTAACACATTTCATTCTAATTTTAGGCTTTTGAGAAGTTTCTTTTCCAGATCAACCCACTCTTTTTCACATTTAAATAATTTTCAGTTTTTTAAAGAGCTCAGCTTTAGCAGGTGTTTCAGTAGCTAAGCAATAAGAAATCTCTTGAGAACATCTTCCATGTTTCCCAAATGGATTACCCTGTTTTGGGAGAACAGTATTAAGCAAAATAACCATGCCAGTGAATTTCAAAACTGAAATAAACCTGCTAAGATGCAAAAGACAAAAAGACACACTCCCTAAAAGAAGCACTTGCCATGCTCCCTGTTAACAAATAAGGAAGGTGCAAGAAGCAGCAGTGGCTACAGTCGCAATACCAGTAATTAACTTGAATGCAGTAAAATTCAACAGAATAAATTTAGAAGCTTAACATGGAACAAAACGATGCAACTCCTCCTTTTCTGAATTATTCAGCTTCACTGCAGCCCCAAGACCATGAATGCTAAATGGCTTGCAACCATGAACCAAGTTAAGTACATTTCAGTGGCTAACAGTGGAAAAACCCCACATGCTGTCAAAGCAGCAGCGACTTTACTGGTAACTTGGACCCACAGCCCCACACTGCTAAAATGTGTTTATTATGAACAGATCTGGAAGCTGAAGTGAAACAAGGTCAAGATACCTGTACACTGTTTTCAAGTACCACCCACCTCTGTCTCTTCATGTCACCTCCAGCTACTTGAGAGCTGCATTTTTTCACTTGTGGCTCCTAGAAGGTAAATGCTGCAGTACATTTCAGCAGTTTCTTCTTCTTACAGTGTCAAGTAGTATGAGAAAGCCCACTGACAATAATGCCTCTGTGCCCTCATGCAGCCAGAGCAGACTTAGATCTTAAATGTTCATCTGCAGTCACAAGGTTATCTTCCACATCTCCCTAGACTGCAGGAACATCCTCCTCCTCCAGTGGAAAAAAGGCCTAATAAAAACTTGAATCTAGCTTGCTATGTCTCTACAGAGGTAGCACTTGCAGTAAAAATGTAAGTTAGAGTAGAATACAGCAGCAGACATATCTTATTCTTCAACATGGCATATCATCCCCCATTTCTGCTCTCTTTGCCTCTTTAATTCTTCTAACCACAGAGACTGAAAAAACTAATCCTATTTTAAAGCAGTACTTAATGCTCAAAACACATTTTCTTACCCGGTGCAAAGACTTCAAGGGAACATTTCTTCAGCAAATGTTATGACCTGGGGTTGCTCTAACCTCAATTTTCCAGATGCATTTAAGTGCGTTCCTGAACTAACCTGGCTTGTTAGCTTGCAAGAATTTTTAACAATATCCTTTTCCTTTGAGGTTTCAAGCCTGTGTTCTCTGTCTTCTGAGTGTGCTTCCTTGTCTTCCTTCTGTTTAGGCTCTCTAGAAGAGAACCAACTATTCTCAGCTTCATTCTCAGCTGTGCCAGCTCCACTGCTGAAAACAGCCAGGTGTGTTTGGGAAATACTGGAACCTAGGAAAAAGAGAATTCTGATAGCTCCACAAAAAACCTCTCCAAAACATGTAAATCCATTCCCTTCTTGCCTTCACTCTCTTTTCCCTGTGGCTGAGAGTGTGAAAAGGCACTGGTCAATTTGCTGGCGTACATCCTCAAGTACAAGTTTTACCCCATTAAGTATAGCAGAGCTGGCTCCCATGGATGGCCTTATCCTTAGGCTAAGCATGGAAATATATCAAAGCAGCTGGATTCAGATTAACACCTCTTCCCTACCTTCAGCACAGGTTTAAAACAGTGCAGGTGCTTATGATCATGGTCAAGGAATTAAAAGCTTCAGATTTCTCCTCATCTCTATATCTTCCTGTTTTCAAAAGTGCCTTTGTCTAAACATGGACCAAATAAAGTCTGAATTGAAAAAGAGGACGGGAAATTAGATCAAACTGAGCATGTGGCATTCTCATTATCCCTCATGTCAGACAAGTCAGAAGCAGTTACATAATTGGGCCTCCAGACTCTAGGCAGTGAAGTGTTAAGAGGGAAAAGCAATCCCAGGACTGCACGCTGGGTTTTGACAAATAGAAAACCACAGAAGTAGGCCAAGAGCTTGCCACCAATGTTGGTTTTTAATTGTACCACCTCAAAAAAAGGTTCATGTTATGGCACACGTGGTCTAAGAGGTAAGAAACTGTGTAGTGCAAGAAATGGAAAAGTGAGGGAGAGAATCTGATCTGTGCTTGCGTACACACTTGAGTGTGAGTCAGAGAAAGTGCACTTGTGAGTAAGAATGCATGTCTATGAGGAGTACAGTGCCGAGAAACACAAGGGGAAGCAGTGGTCCAGAAGCAATTGCTATGAAAAGGAATGGGGGTGGGGAATTGTGCACAGCCCTTTTTTAGCTTCTGCTGCAAAAAAAATAAATAGACCTTTTAATCTGTGTTCTCCTCGGCTCCTTCTCTATTGACCATTCATTTCTTCTTTCTCTTCCCAGCTCTTTACCTCCTCTATATGGCTGATGAATATGCAAATGTACAATCAGCTCTGTAATAGCTTATCCTTTCTAAAAACAGGCTATAAATTTGGATCCTAAGGAGCAGGTTCTAAAAAGACCATTATATTATACGGCTGGGGGAAGAGGCAAGACCCAAATACCACCACTAGCACATCAGAGTTCAGTGTGAATGCGGCTAGAAGGCGGGCCCTTCATCTAGCAGAGCTAGCAGCCAGAAGGGAAAGCTCTGCTGCACAACTACACATGAACCTCCTCCTCCAGGCTCCTGCAGGGCAAAGCGCAAGTGCTAGCCCTAGGCAGGGCTCCCTGCAGGCTTTGGCAAGAGCACGAATGTGACACAGAGCCCGAGATCCTGCGGGTTTGGGATGTGATCGATGCCAGCTATAGGAGCTGTGGGAGCTTTTGGGAGAGCCCCGGTGCCCAGCGCAGCAGCCAGGGCCCTGCAGCAGCAGAGGGGCACACAGGCAGCGGAGGCTGCGCTGTGCCCACACACACACACACACGCACACACGGGTGTCTGCAGGGGGGTACAGACATGCCCAGAGACATAAACGCTGCTGGGGGAACACACGCACCCCCAGGAAGGGGTGGCAGCAAACACAGCCCCCAGACCAGGGCCCTGGCACATTCTCAGAGCTCCAGTTGGCTCAGACACAGTTAACACAAAGCTCTGACCCCCTGACACCACTGTGCCACAGGAGGCAGCTGTGTCACAAGCTGGATGGCAGGTTGAGGGTGCATACACTGCAGCTCAGCTGCTTCCCAGCTTCCCAAGGAGCTGCCTCCTTCCTTCAGTAAAATCAGCACACTTTGGTACAATACTTGCATACACTTCCATGTCTGCCATTTTGAGGCCCTTCTCAGGTTTTCGCCGGGCTTTACAGTATTCCTCGATGTTGTCACTGCAGGGTAGAAGGCAAGAACTATTAGTCCAAATTTAATGAGATGGTATTGTTCTACTATACAGGGTCTGAAGCTGAAGGTGCTGTCCCCAATTTCATCACTTCATCAATCCAGCTTGTGAACTGCAGTGCTGGAGCCCCACAGGAAGGAATCAGGCCCAGATGAGCTTTATAGTTCCCCATGGAAAACTGCTCAGGAACAGATAAGTCTTCAAGGTCCAGAGTAAACCGACAAGATGCCAACCGGAAACTGAGTGCTCCTGCTCAAACTTTGGGCAAGAGAGTAGCAAAAACATGGGCTGCAACAGTTTCAGCACCCAAGGCAGCCAGGACATCCTGCATTACCCACAGGTTGCCCTATGAACTAGGACAGGGGGGAGCATGTATCCCAGGTGGGGCACAGAGATGGGAAGGTGGGAGTCATGTACTCAGCACCCTCAAAAATTGGGGTAAAGGGGCAGAAACTTGGATCTGGCTCTAATGCCAACTGCTGCACCCTGAACATGTCATGGCTCTTTGTGTTATAATTTATAGGTAGTGAATAATAGTTGCATAATTCAGAGGGGTCACATACCAGGACATGCTATAATCACAGAAATACCCATATTCACAAAATAATTCTAAAACACATTTTTTGCAGGGGCTGATTTTCAAACCAAATCCTTGTAATCTTAAAAACCACTCCAGATTGGGTAGCCTTTGAACATGGACATCATTGAACACGTTCCTTCTCTCCTTTCCCATCACCTTCAACACAGATGTACCTTACAAAGCAATACAAATTCTGCAGCATCTCAACAAATCAGGGATAACAGGAGGAAGGAATGTTATAACATGATTTATTAAAATCAGTTTATAAAACCCTAGGGCCAGTTCACAGAGAAGAATGGAAGTCTCATCCAACATTCTGCAGGTGGGAAGGGGGCTCCCCAGAAAAGGTCCAAAGCCTTGAGCTGATCTTTGTTGGGAGTGACCAAATCTGGCAGTCAGACGTGGGAATTAGGATCCTCTCTGGTGCCTTGTTTTCCTTTTTAACCTTCAACATTCTTCTGAGCCCATTACCACTACAGTACCCTGTGTGCCTACCACACTGTCATTTTTGCCTGCACCACTGGAAGCACAGGATTCTCACCCCAGACTCTGATAATACTTTCACAAATATTTGTTTCACCTCAACTTCAAAAAAAACCCCACAACTGAAACCAAAAAAACCCAAACAACCAAAATACAATGAGAGGAACTATTCTGACCACAAAGTAAAACAAATCAGCAAACCAAAGCTACAATCCCATAAAATAAAGACAAAAGATGGGGGGCAAAAATAGGTGGTTATACCCAAAGGTGATCTCTCTTAGGTGGCAAAAATCTTTGGATGCAGAAACACTGACAAAGCACTGCAAATAAAGTAGCATCCTCCCCTCCCTGACCCCAGGAATAAAACCAACCCCAGCACCCCAAAACTTGTTACGATCATCAGATGTCAGGCACAGGACCTGGAGGTAATTACCAGAAGGGATGCTGGCAGACACCAGGGTCCATTCACAGGACATGCATTTACCACTTCTTCCTGAATTTCAGAAGTCTCTCTTCTAGAGCAGTCTCTTGCATACAATTGCATGTCCAGTTGCACACCCTAGAGGTTATGGATCCAAGAGGAACAGCAATATTCTCTGCAGGATACTTTCAACTAATTCAATCCTTATTAAACTCTTCACATAAAGTACTATTTAAATTAAAAACATTACAAGAGAGGGATGTGACTGGCACAGACATGACACAATGGTTACAATTTAGAAAACTTACATGTTATCAAATGAGAATCCAAGACAAACTGAAATCTTCACATGAGCGCAGAGGAAGACTTTTATAAAAATGGAAATGTATGGATGCTTTTTTTCCTGTAACAGGAATAACTGATTACTGTTTAGAGGTGATATTCTGTAACTATAGGAGGTAAGTTTGGAAATAACTGACTATTACCAACTCTAACATGAAATGCTGTCCAGATGCATCCATAATAGAGCTGCACCCATGCTACTTGTATAAAGAGCAGTGACATTCTCCTTTCTCACTACTCATGTTTGAACTACTAAACTCTCCTAGCAGAACACTCAGCATTTTTCTATTCCCAAGTTTAAAACAGTAGCAGAAGTTACTCTTGTAGACGGCTGTTAAGGCCTCAGTGCATTTGTATTCTGAGACTTCCACCTGATCTTTCCTCTCATCCAACAGTATCAAAGCCAGAACAAAAACCCGTAACATTTCTGGTATTACTGTCCCTTCCCCAGCAATATGCAGCAGAATCATGTCATATATGTTAGACTTGAAAAGCAAAGCCCCGATTCAAGTTAGAAAAATGTAATCATTCCCACTGCTCCCTCTTGGCAAGATAGCTTCTTCATGATCTCATTGCCCAGATTTGTGGTACGGACCGAGTTGATCAGACTGATTTTCAGTTGTTCCTTTTAAGTTCTACCCTCCACCCACAGGTCCTTGGCTTCTCACTGGTTATTGCACCCCGGGGCTGCAGAAGAGGTGCCTGCCTGCTTCTGTTTCTTACGGCGTTTGTTCAGGAGGCGGTTGTTGGATGTTTTCAAGTCTTTGATTTTCACCTGATCATAGTCCACTCTCATGGTAGCCAAAGCACTGGTCATCTCCTCCTGAAACCAAGGAAGCAATGTATTGAAACCCCTGAGGCAGTGAGCATGCAGCCACTTTCCCCCCACTACTGCACTACTGCCAGGAGATGAAAGCACAAAAAGGAACCCTCTGTTACACGACGGCCAGAAATAGCTGAGCCCTTCCTGCTGCGGTGGACTGTGACTAAAGGCTTCGTTCTACTCATGGACTCATTCAGGAGGAGCTATTCACACAGTGTTTCATACATGAGCACGCAGGACCACACTCCACTGGCCTAAATTCCACCATGTCTCTATGCACAGCATTTCCTACTGCCTGGCTCTGGGCCTCCATCAGCCTCTGAGCTGGAACTGCCTGTACCAGACTCTGAACGCTGCCTGCCTTGCTCTCTCACCAAACTAGGGTAGCAGGAGCCGGAATAAAGAGCCCACATAAAGTTGCTTAAGATTATGTGCTTCAAATTCACATGCTTCCTTAGTTTGAATTAATGTTTAATTGCAGGCAAATTTAAAACTTTCAGATTAGGTTGTGAACAAGATGTTAATGAACATCTAGGCATTTAGTTCAGGAGAGGGAAAATGATTAAATATTATGGGAATGTCGGTGGCCCAATGGAATACCTCTGGGACCTAGACAAAGCACAAGAATGGAAATGAAGAAGGCTGAGCGAAAAGATCTGTTTGATCTCTTTGATTTAGGCAGCGAAAGTTACCTAGGTCTCTGAAATTTTCCTATTACACAGCTCGACACCTGAGCCTGTTGAGCTATGTAAGGGTACATCCGTGCCATCAGTAATTTGATTTAAATCCATTGAAATACATCATTAATTTAAATAAAATCAGTAAAATACACCTCAGGAATGTTGCAATTATCAACATGCCAAGCACTGTAAGTGGAGAAAATTCAGAACTAATTGTAAAAGCATGCCAACCTGATAAAGGCCAGCAGGAAAGAGTTAAGGCTTGCAAACAACTTTTATCTGCTCTATAGTTTCACTTTGCAGGAAGCATTCAGCTGTCATCACTACAAACTGTAGGTGAGGCACCTAGTTAGATTAAGGGAAAGACAGATACATTGTTTTTCTCCCCTCTGATGTCACAACAAGGCTAAGGCTATTTAATGCTGGTTTACAATATAGGAACAGAGCAGAAAACCAGAACGTAGCTCAACCATCCCACCCTGTCCCCCTGCATTACCATCATATTCTTCACTATAACAAGCTTCAGACTCCCTCAATACTGTCCCTTCTCTGTAATCACATACAGGGGCTCAACAGGTAGCAACAGTAATACCTGTGACATTTGGCACAGCTGCAAGGATGTCAGATGAAGCTCAAATAGCATTCTGGTTTTTAACAGTTACATAGACTACTGTTCTAACCAAGACTGTTTATGCTTCCCTTGTTAAACACGGTTGTATTCAAACTAGCCATGATCTCCAAGGATCAAGGAGAAGCCAGCCTATTTAATCTCCTACCAGATTTGACTTCAAGAAATCTGAACTACAGATTGACTCACTTTAACTTCATCCCAGTGGTCTTTATCCTCTTGCAGAACCCGTGCAGTATGAAGAGGGGTTGGTGGCACTGCCATTGATCTCTGAGAAAAGGGAAAACACAAAACAAGTGTTGTGCAAAATCACATTTGGGAAGTAACTGCTTGTTCTCCTATGCGCATGGAGGACATAAACCTCTACCTAATGTCCTTCAGTAGCCCTCATTATTCATGCTTTTAAGCACTCTATAAGCAAAGTCATGTGTGAGGTAGAAAAGGACTGTAGTCACCACCTAACAGTATCTTTAAAGGGGAAGCAGTGCCAAGTTTCTTTGACTCTGCTCCCCTCCAATTCAGCCAAGTGCTGGATAAATTTTTATGTTCATTTTAGATTTTATCTGGCATTTCACTGTTCATTAGCCAATGTTTTAAAGTGGTTAACTGACCTTTATCTTCTAGGATTTGTGTTAGGACCTATTTTCTTGTACATATACATTAACTAAGATTGCCAGTTCATCAGATCATAAATGTGCCCAAAAGGGGAAATTATACCATTATTCAGAGTAAGGCACAGTTCAGAAGACAACGAATCACCTGAGATGCTCTTCCACATAAAACCAAGATCTATGCTCAACTGCCATGGAAGATCAGTAGATACTTTAAATTCGAATATGGTACAATTTCTAAAACACAAAGGACAGTTCCCTAGCTAAATTCAACAAGAATCATGGCATTTTCTTACCAGTCTTGTAATTTCATTTGGATATTCTATCTTCCTTATGCTTTCTACCCAAACTTGCTGTCTGCTGGCATCCTACACTAGACACAGCTACATATCAACAAAGTCTAAGGAGATTCCTGTACACATCACTGTAAAATAAGCATTACACTGGAAGCAGTACTTAGACCCCACCAAGCTAACACCAGCACTGCAGTAGTTACAGAAGAAATCATGAATCCTGCATGCTCTGGAAAGGCTCCTAGCTGTCCAGGTATAGTTCTATCAAGTCCAGCTGGGACAAGAGAAATAGAAAACCAGCTGACAGGCTTTAGTAGTGTCCCTGAGGAGGTGTTGCAGGTGCCCTCCTATCTGCTGTGAGCTGCTGCTTGATAAAACAATCTTACTTACAAGATAACAGCCAATTTTTGCATAGTCCACAATAATACTTCTGTATCCATTTAATGACAAAATGACAAAATAATGACAAAATGACAAAAATAATAAAAAAGAGGAAAGACAAACATCCTCCTTCCCTGCTTGTGCAAGACATCACCCCCGACATGTTCCCACTTTAGGATTTAGGAAAAAGAAGAACAGAGGCATTCACTATGTCGGTCTTTCCCCTTCCCTCCCTCTGCCTCAGGGGAACAATAGGTTCAGCAATAAAAAATGCCAACCTGCAGCTCCTAGAGCATTCTTCCAGGAACAGTATTCTAGCCCGGCTCTTTGGTGCAGCAGAATCTATAGACCTTGTCTCTAATCTCCTCCTCATTAATTGGTTATATGCATATTTCAAGTAACATGTGTCACTGTAGGTGGTAGCTTCCTTAGCTATTAGGCACTCATTCTGTGAAATTCATCGCCTGCTGACTTCTGAAACACCTCCTTCTTGGGTCTTCAAACACTTAAAGCTGGAGGTATTTATTCTGAACAGTGATTACAATTTTATTTGGTTAGAAAAGACAGAAACATTGTCTAGGTTCTGTTCTAGTTCTAGGGAGTTTTTGTAACTTCAATTTCTCAGCTTTTCCAATTCTAAATCTCCTTCACTGGGATCTTATACAGCTACATTTCTGTATCATTCTAAGGGCTTTCAGATCTTCCAAGAGACACTATAGAAATGCTGCCTCTCTCTGCACCTACCTCTGAGGGTCAGCAAAGACAGAGAAAGCACTATGGGAGAAACAGCAGTACACGTGCTCCTGCTCCTGACTGATGATTTTTTGGGCAGTGAGAACAAGACCGGTGTCCTTTCAGGCACAAATGTGAGAAGAACAAGCTATTATTTTGAGTGACACCTGCAGAGCAGAGATGATATCCTGAAACTCAGAGATGATATCCTGGTAATTCCTGGGACTCCTGTCTCTTGCTTGAAATAATTAATATTGTATTATTAGAGTTGTTTGTTTGGGGGGGGTTAAACCCCAAAATATTTTTTAAGGAAAAGTAAATACAGCCATGTCAGGGAATGAAACCTGAGCTGGGACCGTTAATAGCTCTGTGTACCACCCTACCTGGCAATCTGTCCCAGGGCACTAAGCCGAGACCTCACTCCTCCCTCCAGCATTTCCAAACTCTGCCAAGGATGAGAATCCCCACTAAGCAGAGGACTGTGTTCACACTAACACAGCTATGCACAATGGTGCCTGAGACCACTAATAATATCTCTCTTCAAATCCTGCACTGATGAAGTAAGTACATAGAGTTTGTATTTTTGAAGAGAGTAACACATGCATACGCTGCAGAGTCAAACAGTGACTGCCTGCTCACAGGAGATAGAGATACATTCGACTTTTGCTTCCAAGAATGCTCTTGTGGGTGTCTCTCTGTATGTCCTCTAGTAACACCAAGAAGAATTGTGGGTCTTTGGTTAGATGACCCTCTGTGGAGGGCACAGTAAGTTAATTGAGTTATTAGCAGTAATCATCAGCCTCCTCTTACATGTAGCTCCACAAAGCACAGTAAGTTCCGCAAGCAAGAATTCATCTCAGGAAAAGAGATCTGAAACTCACATTAATCCAAGGGTGATTCATAAATTGAGAAACTGTCATCCTCTCCGTCGGGTCAGTCTTCAGTAAATGGCGAATCAGTTGTTTGGCTGAAAAAAAAAGACCAGCAAGGCATGTTGTAGCCTACTGCTGTGTTCCCAAATAACCTTGCGAATGCAAAGACCTGCTAAATGAAGAAAGATAATGTTGCAGAACTCAAAACACCTACCTATGGCTATTAGCATGTTAAGAAGCCATGTACAGTGTCGTAGGCTACTATGCTTAAAGAGTCAGAGTAAGAAAACATTCAAAACAAGAGGTACAAAGGAAAGACAAAGGACTGGGGATTCCAGCTATGCCATCTACATCACCAAATCAACTGTCTGGAGAGCAAGAACTTGAGAAAAAGAGAAACACAGGAACAGAAAGCTGCTACGCTGCCTGTCTGAAAGATGCTAACAAGCTTGGCATTATGGGCTGAATGAATGCATAAGCTGATGTTTTGAGAAATGACACACAACATAAACTAGCACAAGCTGTGGAAAAGAAAAGGACAACATACTTTTGACAACCCAGAGGCCACTAAAAGGACAACAAAGAAGAAATGGATTGCACAAACAAGCTTTGCAGCAGCTTTCTGTGAAAATGGTATCTGCCAAAGCAGGAGTACTAAGTAGCAGATACGAGATGATGAGAGTCTAGACAAGAGCTTCATTAATGCAGGTGGACATACTGGAAACACTGCATCCAAGGAACATTATTTAGACTTACACATAACTTCCTTGGGATAACCTAAAAAACCTTCTGAATAAGAGTTCTCTTTCAGAAACATCAAATGCAGCATGACTAAATGCTTGTAAGGAGCTGCCAGAGGTACAAGTTTGTCAAGTGAGGCCGCAAAAGAGTTTTGCAGTAGAGATTACCTAGAATCTAGAATGTACAAGGAAAGAAAAAGGGGGCACCACAGAAAGAACCCATTAAAATTATTACAGAAGCTAGAGAGGAATTCAGAGGAAGTCTCCACAGCTGATGCAATGACAAGAAAAACACAGAAGAGGGAAAAGAAGCAGTCTGCTGAAAGTGCCTGATCATCCTAACAGAATACACATAAACTAGCTGATTTAATATGTTCAAAGGTAGCGGGCACCTATCTTCACTCAGCACACAGAAACCCTCCAAATTTTCCAAGTGCATGTTCTCTCACTGAGGTCCCCTAGAATTTTACTAACTGCTGTAATAAGAACAAGAGCCAAGCCAGCCAAAATATTAAGTCAGAAACCTCCAAATAAAACATCTTCCTTATTAATGCTCAGTAGCCTGTGCTGTACATGCAGCCATGAGATCCGATGAGGGGTTAAAATGCCACAGGTCAGTAATCTGTTATTGCTAAACAGCGGACAATAACAGGATGCAAGCAACACCAATGTAAAGGGCTTGTTAGAAAGACATGCTCAGAGGTTGCTGACCTTCCTCTCTAATAGGAAAGGCAGGTGAGACTTCCAGCTTATCAGACTGTCAGAATAAGAGGGTATCAAAAACATCCACTTGCAGGACATTGGATTGAGCCCATCCAAGTCACAGCTGAACAGCAGCAGATTTTGGTCAACAATTTATACAAAATAAATTGTTGACCTTCATTTAAGTGGTGCTGGCAGGTTCCCACGTCACAAAAAGCTAGCAGGAAAACTTGCCATCCTTGCGGGCTGCATCACCAAGGAGAGCAAAGACTGAATAATTTCTTAATACAGTTTGCCTTTCTTCCAGCTCAGCTTGCATTGCAGCTGTCCTGACAGTCTCCTTTCTCAGGATTAAAGACTTCTGTTTCCAGAGGGTTTAATCTCAGCATTCACTAGCATTAGCTGCAACCTGGAAGTTTTCAGTAGTCATTTACTTTCTGTAGCACTGTTTGCTGCCAGTATCTAAGTTCCAATCATTCTCTGTATCATCTTACAAAAAATAATGTAAGTTCTAAACCAAAAGGAAACATAACCTAAGACAGGCTTTTAGAAGCACACCACCACACACATGCTCATCATTACCTTCCTCTGATACCTCAGCCCACTCTGGATTGGGAAATCCATATTGCCCCATCCGAATTCTTCTCTTCATCCCTGGAGAAATGGCTTGACCAGTGTTTGAGTAGAATGGAGGGAACCCACACAGGCTGAAAGAGTGGACAAGAGAACTCTTAGAACTCGGAAAGTCCTTTCAGCTCTTAAAAAGTCCCATACAAGCTCATATTCTTCTGCAGGTTGCATGCTCCTAGTGACTCATTACTGGTAAGTGTGGATTTGACAAGATGCGTCCTTGTGTTCATCAAGCCTCTTTCCAAATACTTACAGAATATATGTGATGACACCCAAGGACCACATGTCACATGACTTGTCATACTTCTCAGGACCAAGGACTTCTGGGGCTGAAGAAGATTAAAACCAGAAATGAACAGAGCACCAGATGTCACCTTTCATCTTCATCACCTTATAAATAGCAACACACTTGAACAACAAGCATCAGATGCATTAAAAAAAATGTAACTCACTGCAGGAACTGGGTAGTATTTTCTATTGACAAGTTCCTAGACACATCTGATACAGCTTTAAACCAGGAGGGATGGAGTTGGCAAAATGCCCTACTCTTCACCTTTGTGTCTCTCTGCTCAAGAGAGTACTAAGATTACAGAAAAGCAGAAGGAGCTATAGCTAAATGTGTACAGGGAGACACTGCACTGAGAGAGGCAGGAGCATATGCTCCAAAAATCAGAAAAGACCTATTTGAGCTGTGATAAACTTTTGAATGATACCTAGCTGGAGTGTGCTTAGCTCCAGCAACTACAGAGCACTCTATTTTACTTTGGCCTCCAGAGTATTATATTTTTCACTAAGTAACGAAAGAATAGAGATACCCATTTAGAGAGGATGCTGCTTCTTTCCCTTGAGGCAGGTGAACTGGCAGGGAGCTTGATTTTGTGAGGAAAATGATTCTCTAGACATATGAGCAATCATGCTGGTTTATAAAAAAGGTGCTAAGAAGGGAAATGTCAGCTTGTTTATAAACAAATATAAAGGCATAAAAACCTATATCTGTGAATTCCTCCACATTTTATCACTAATCCCATCTTGCAAAAATATAGAAGAAACCACCAGAAAAAAATCCTGCTATTGTAATTAGCTGCTAACAATGAATAACAATATTTTTCAATACAAAAAAACCCTATAAAACTTACATTGTGAAGTAGAAATAATTCTTCCAAAAACAATAATTAAAAAAAGCACCTTTTTTTCTCCAATGAAATTCCAAGTGTGGACTGCCTCAGTCATACCATATGGAAAATGACTATCCACTCAAAGACCAAAATCAATGTACTCTAAAATGAGGGCAGAAAGGACAGCCGACTGTGGCTTTCATTACACACTGCCCTGTGTTGGGACAAAAATACAGGCAAAAATTTAGCTGTGATTAAGTCACATTGGTCTTTTATTAGTAACTCCTACATTTGCCAGATTTAAGAAGCTTTATACCTGAGGCAGCGCTCTCCTGGTTCGCTCCTATTGCACTAGTTAGGCTAAGGGGAGTTTTGCAAGGAAACAAACAATCATGAAGCAGAGTTCAATTGTGGCTTTTATCACATCACTCAGAGAGAACATCAGGATTACTCAAAGTGTAATCAGAGGCAACATGTTCTCTCTCCTTGATCCTCATCTGTGTCCCCTGTTAAGGCTGTTTTCTTTGCAACCAAGGAAGAAAGCAGGAGCACTGAACTGTACTGGAACCAGACTAGGCTAGGGTTGGACCCCAGTTCAAATTCTGCAGGCTACCTCTTTATATTACATCCACAATAGAAGGTTTCCCATCCATTCCTACAGTCCACAGGGCCCACTACAAGGGGAGGGATGACAGAACGAAAGACAAAAACAATGCATTTGGATAACTTACCCACATAATAAGGAGTGTAACAGGGGGTCTGCAGTGCATTTACAGATGTTTCTTTGGCAAAGCCGAAGTCTGTGAGTTTGAGTACAGCATCCTTCTCTTTAGACGTGTAAAGCAAGTTTTCAGGCTGAAAGACCACCAAGAGAAAGCATAAAATGGACAAGGAAGAGATACCTCTAATGAGCTCAGAGATCAAACCATTCTCACTTGCCTGGATCATCACCAGCATCTGTGTCTTGTTACTTCTCCCACACACCCCCACCATGGCATGCAGAAAGTACCCTCCCAACATGTAGCATTTTTGCTCCCACTAAGGATCAACATCCTCCTTGACATGGTATTTAGGAGAGCAAATCACAAGACTCTCATCAGGTCCAATAGATTCTTGAACCCCTCTCTAACTTACATGCTTTTCTAGGACCGTTCTGTCTGATCAACACACCAGTTGATCTGACAGCACTCTGCACCACACTCGAGTAGCTAGTGTGGAAGACAAGAGAAGTCATCATCCAAACCCTCTATGAACAACTAACACAACTCCATCAGAACTAACTGATACAGACACAGCCTCCTTCCTGCCACCCACCTCCCACCTCTGCCTCGTGAAACCAGATTTAACTCCATTCTAGCTTCATACTCCATAAAGGCTCTCCAAAACCAGAAGTGGCACAGAGGGAAGTATACAAGTGCTTGTGCACAAGAGCAGGGACAACAGCACATCTCCAGAACCTGTTTTCCAGTTCTTAAGTTTTAAGGAAGCTACAGCCTCTCGCATGTTAGTGTTTAGGGACATACAGAAGGAAGGACTAGAAAGAAAACAGGATTTAGGACTGGAACCATTTCTATGGGAGTGCATTGAGTGTGGTTAGGGGGTGTTTGGGGCTAAGTGCTTTGGTTTCTGTGGTGGGATAGGCAATGGCACACAGCTCCACAAAAGTGAGCAGATTTTTAGTCTAAACTGTTCAGTCATTCTCCAGTTCCTACCTAAAGAACCCTCAAACATCCCACTCAGCGACACTGAGCGACGACAGCTCTCCCTCCAGCTAAACGCACAGAAGCATCTGTAGAGAATTCAGAAACTCAGAGCTGCAGAATCAATCAGGTGCCTCAGTCTACCATTATGCAACCTGCTCTTCACCGCACTGCCTCACCACTGCGCTGGAACCCCCTCGGTGCAGCTCTCTTGCCCTTGCTCTTCACAGAATGAAACCAAAACACGACACTACAGACCCTGACAAATCTCCACGACAAGATCTGTGTACAAACTGTGTCTAATAAAACACAGGTCCACTTGGTAGGAACTGGGAAACTCCCCATTTCCCAAACATTTACATATACTATTAAAGTGGTTCGGATGCATGGAATTGGTATTATTCCTCCCACACATACAGGTTCTCCTGTTTCTGAAGGAAAAGAGGATTTTTTGTTTGTTTTGTGGGTCTGGGGGGTATGGATTGTTTTTTTACACAAGTAGGATCCTAAAAACAGCTCAAACCTGGTAAAGGCTGTGCATCGAGGTATAGCATCCAGTATAAGTTTACTTCAGGCAATGTTATTTTCTTGTTAATTAACTGGATTGTAGGCTTTTTAATTAACCACCTATTATGAAATTCCTCTGCATCCTGTACACAACTGGAAGGCATTAACATACAGCTAGCTATTCTGACCTTTACCTAGCTGCACACTAGGGGTGAAGAGAACCCTTCTCATGCTGGCACAGGAAGTGGAACACTTTGACCACCTGATTGTACCCCTAAGTCTATTTAAACCACCAATGCCCATTTATTTTTCTACCTTATGCTTTTTTCTCCCTGCCCACACGCCTTCAGGCCTCACCTTGACATCTCTATGGGCAATGTTCATTGAATGCAGATACTGGATGGCTGTCCCGATGTCTCTCATTATTTCAGAGGCCTCTATAAATACAATTTTAGAGAAAGGTCACATTAACATTCCCACCGTAACTCAGGGACATGCCTAGGAATGCTTACGACTTACAAACAGCTTGCTGGAATACAGGGCTAGCGTCAAGACTAGAAAACCTAAAATTAGCCCTAACAGCTGTGTTTTGGTTTTGCAGGCAACCATTCCCCCTAATTCCTGGGCTGCTCCTCCTGAGAAGGCACCGAACGGAACTGTTGAGATCCTGCTTTTTATGAGCTTGTAAAGCTGGGCTTTCCTTTGCTTGCCAGAAAAGCAGCAAGAGCAGAGCAGGTATGCAAGCAACATGCAAGAGTGAGGAGAAAGAAGCCCCCACCAGGACATGTCCCTGATTGTCCAGGACATGGCCTCCACTGCCCAAGACAGAAGTCTCACTCTCAGCTTCTAGTTCAGGAGTAATAGGCAAGAGGAGGATCTAACAGATCTTCTAAAAATAGAGCAACAGAACAACACAGCCATTTTAGGATCAGTCACATCTTCATTCCTCACTGCCTTTAGAAGTTTTTTTCCTCAGGAAAAACAAAATCATCCGTTCAATTCTGCAAAGCCCAAATTGCCACCTTGGAAACACTGTTCTGAAAATTCAGTGTAACCCCAGTGGGAAATTGCAGCGTTTGGTGAGCTGCCTTGCAGCAGCAGCACTCTTGAAGCTTGGAAGAGTTCAGTTACATAGGGAAAGGTTTCAGAGCAGGGAGGAGTGACATTCCCATTGTATTAAGTGAGCATTATATTACACCTCTGCTGACAGGGAAACGATTAGCAACATAGCTGCATCCTCTGTTTTCTGCATAGGCAGAAACCTCAGCTGCAGTAGTGAGAGAAATTCTCATACTGCAACCTGGAACCTTTTTTCACATGCTTGAGACTGAAACTGCACCATCGCAGGCAAGGGCAATCAGAAGGCACAAACACTCATCTCCTTCATGGAAAAACCTCCTTCCTGGCCCAAGTCACAACGCATGGCTCCTAATGGGAAGTTGTGGCTGATATATATACAGCCAGTGAACCTGGGGAATCCAGTGGAACTGGGCTCATTTATCTCAGGAAAGAATGGAGGCGGTTTTTCTGTTTAAGACTCCCAGATGATTTCTGAGTAAGTATTTAGAATGCTATACAACGCTATTTAATGTAGAAAAACCATGTTTTTAGCAGAGTGGGGTCACTAATGATCACAGAACCAGCTTCCCTCCTGGAATTTGGCATTTTGGAGAGGAACAAATAAAGTTCCTGAAAATGCTCATTTTCCCTGCACAAGTCTCTAATACCACTTAAAGGCTGCAAAACACAGGATCAAAAAAAAAACCAATCCCTGGCATCTACACCAGACTTGCAAACCAGCCACAGTAATTTACAAGTTCAGGTGTAAATTTGTCTTCATTTTATCAGGATGCTAGTTACAAACATTAACAATTTTACTCCTGAGCAGAAACAAGCTTTTATCTGTTGTGACTGGACGAGGAGAACCACCGTCAAGTACACCTGTGGTACTCTGCAAATAATATATAGCTAAGAGAATAAAAATGGCAAGACTAGTCTATTGCAAGCTCTGTCACTGACTCATAGGAGGTCTTTCAATTTGCACGTAGTCCCTGTATAGATAAGCAGACTTGTTTACAGTGTGGCTAATAACACTTCCTTTCAAGTAGTACTTAAAACCCTTGACTAAGAGATGTTTCATCGAAAGTGATTTGCTCATTATGTTCATCACCTCACAGTATAGCTGTGCACAGTGATGCTGCTTGAGGGGCAGCCAGAAGAGAAATCACAGCAGGAGCTGTGCTGATCATGTTAGAGGTGGTCTGGCAGGAGACCAGGGACTTGAGCAACAGAGGCTGCGGTGGCTCAGAAATGAAGAAGCTGAGCAGATCTGTATGAAGCGTTTTCCTCTAAACCTTCCACACTGTGCCTGAACTTGGTCATTTCTGGTAATTCCTGATCTTCAGGGATTTTGAAAAATAACTGCTTAATACAGAGCTCAATAGAAAACAAATAAATAATTACCTAAATCAAAGAAAAAATCCTGTAAGGGAACTAAGCAAGGGGACAGAGAAAGAGAGAAGCAATCTTTCACAAACTTCAATTTTAAACTTGTGAACTTCACCTCTCTCAGTGAAAGCTTGATCCCCTCTCTCCTGGATCCTGCTAAACAGCTCTCCTCCTTCCATGCTGAAACAAAGAGCACAAAAAAACCCACCTTACAAGAGCAGAAAAGATCAAGTTGACATCTGACTATGCATCCATACAATCACACAGAACCACAGCAGGAACAGATTACAAAAGATTACACGCTGCCTCCTATGCCAATGCTTCCTGAACACCACACTCATTTGAATCAATGCACAAAGCCATTCTGATATGGAATAAACTGAAAACAAAACAGTAACAATAAACTGAAAACAAGACCAAGGAGTTCTGATGCTTTCAGTTTAATGTACCCAGTCACAAGGAAGCTTGGAAGTCAGATATGCTGGCACTGGGAGGCTGTTTTTTTGTAAGGGTTGGAGAGAAAAGCAAAAGAAAGAAGGAAGCAAAGATAATTTGTCCCCAGTGAAGACAACAGTAACTGTGGTATTACAAGTCAAGTCAAAATAATAGCAGAAAGGAACGTCAGATCACTGGATTTACATCCGAAATCGATGACAATCACAATCAAAGAACATCATATTTGTAGAGACATATCTCTTAAGACTATTAATAAGTCAATGTTTTAATGAGGACAACTGACATGGAGTACAAGGAAAACTTATTTTCAGTTAAGGTTTCTCATACAAGATGCTGAAGCAGCTCTACATTTCCCTACCAGTTCCATAAAGACAGCAAAAGGTTTGCTGTGCAAACCCAAACCCCACTGCTGAGAAAGCTCACCCAGCTGCCACCTAAGCCAACATATTCTCCCATTCCCTCCACCCCCTCAAAGGGCAATGCTTGGTGGAGGCTGCTGCTGGTGCATACCATTCCATGACAATGAGGAGGCATCTCTTTCCATGATGTATGTTCTCATAAACATCCAGAACATGGACAATGTGGGGACACCCTGATGCTCGCCAATGATACTCTACTTCCTGACGGGCTTTTGGGTTGTCATACAGGAGCTGTAAAGAAATAGGAGACAGAAACGTCAGTCAGGCAGTATCATTCTGCTTTAAATTGGCACCTACAGGTATTTGAGCTCGGAGACGGTGGCAAAAGCTACTCTTAGCCCTTTCTCCAGCCAAAGGATGACAATCCATCATAAGACTTTCATTATCTCTGGACTGTCCAGCTTCCTAGATTGAGGCACACAGAAACTGGAAGGACCCTGAGTGGCAGTAAGGAGAGATCTTGAATCTCAGATGAAGACAGACCTATCTCTCCCACCTCTGGATGGGAAACCACAATTTCTTCCTACTTGTTTGCAGCACTTGCCAACAGAGAAGAATCCCTCTGCTAAGGACAATAACCCTCCCACCTGCCCAGAAAAGAGACTTCTAGGCTCACTGCAGATCCCTTCAGCTCAGTGAGATTTAAAACAGTGAGGACCTACACAAATTTCTGACCCCATCAGGGTCAGAAAGGGATCTTTAACTATCTAGATGCTTGAACATCTTTCTTGGTCACATGCAAGGCCAGGTTGTTTTAAAGGCGCTAATCTCTAGAGAGGTAAGAGCTCATCCTTCCTGATTCTGCAACCTTGTCCACAAGAAATGCGTACAAGGTTGTATACAAGAGGTCCTTGCCTGTTTGAAGAACTGCTCTGCATCAGATCCTGCAACTGAGCTTTTGTGCTGAATCATGCCTTTTCTCATCTGCGTCATCTCTCTAGACACCACTAACACTTCGTGACACTCTTTTCTGCACATTTGTATGGTTCCTACACAATACAGCTGTGATCTGAGTTTGGTACTTTATGCCCTATAGTAATGATAATTGTAATGATGGAGTAGCAACAAAACTGATGGTATATAAAGCATTGCTAAATGCACTGGAACAGAATAAAAAAGAAGCCAAGAATAATCATCTCTGATCTATTTGCCTTGGAAAAGGACTACACGAACTCTGGGGGACACACAATGACACTGTTTTCAAACAGAAAACAAAAAGTACCATTGCTGCACTATTGGGCCTTGGCCTGAAGCTCTTCTTGTTCATGTTTGCTATCAGGTCTCGGTCAAAACAGAACTCCAGTGTAATTGCTGAAAACAAGTATTAACATGTAACTTGTCATTAGGGACCAATGAATCAGACCTAGGACTGTTTTTTTACCCAATTGCCAAGCTAAGGCACAAATGGTGTCACAGGCACCTCTCAATACAGGGAAACTTAAAGGAAATAAGTTTCAAAGTCTGGTTTCTTTATTGACTCCAATACAATTTGCATCACTGGGGAAAAAAACCCAACCCCAAACCAAACCACAGCCCTAAACTTACAGTGGTGCTTCAACATAGCAACAGACACTATAACCAGGCAGGAAAGGCTTGTAACTTGTTAACAAAATGCTGGGGAAGTGCTTGGGAACCGCTTGGACAGAAGGCAAGAGGCTTCTCCCCTTTCTGAGGCTGGGAACAGGAAAAGGGTGACAAGTACTCCCCTGCTGAGTGCACTTTTGTGAAGCACAGAGGCTGCAGGAAGGGATGAGTGGCCTCAGGAGCAGTGAAGGGGCAGGGAGCCCCAGCACCATGACCACCCTGCAGGCTCCCTCAGCTCTGCTCCAAAGGCTCCAGCATGACGCCAGATCTGCAGCAGTGCAAGGAGCTGAAGCAGCTTTCTTGCCAAGTTCAATGCCCTCGCAGCCAACCTACTTCTTCCACAGCTGTCATTCTGCACCCAAAGCACACCCTTTTGAGATCACTATCCGCCTCTTCCTTCCTGCTCCAGCCTGGCTGTGGCCTGATTTCCAACACAAATAACTTCCTAAAGAAAGAGATGGCTCCAATTTGGACAAAAAGCCCATTAGCAAGTCCAAGCCAGTTGCTTTTACTTCTTTCAGCCATCAGCCCATTCAGCAGCTTTTCCTTCATAGCCACTGTGTTCTAGCTCAGTGGGACTGTCTATCAGCATTTTCCCCTCCGCCCTTCTGAGTTTGGGCTGTTGCCTAGAGGTCTCTTTTAAAAGTTCATTAAATTACATGTGCAACAATAAAGCCCAAACACTCTCAGGACTAACCAGGCCGTTTAGAAAAACATTATAGGGTCTACTGCTTGGATGCTACTGGATTAATGCCACTTCTGAGCTTCAAAACTTTCTCAACTATCCTGTGCTACTAATGAGACATAACCATTCTCTTTACAAATATTAACTGCACTACAAGCTGTGTATCCTGTGCTTCTACAGTGTGCAGAGGTGTTTCTTTTCATGTTTGTACCAAACACTTATGAAAAATGCTTCACAGAACTGGATTCTCGCTTTCTAAAGAGCTTTTACAAGGCATTTGGATACACACAAGGTCGGTGCAGTTTCTTTTTTCCACCCCTAAAAGCAAGTTTCATGTACTCCTTAGTGCCAAGTTTGAATGTACTCATGTCAAGATGACACCTGGAGAAGCAGAGAAAAGGAGATGCAAAAATAAAGAACAGATACTCATACCAAGCAACATCTGATATATCAACCAACTGTTAACCTTTGGATTTCTCCTTCTGAGCCTTAAAAATAAGTTAAACCTTTTCCTTATGTCTAAAACTAGAAGCCTTAACTATACCTTTTAAGACATCTTAAAGATGCAGACACCTGTAAAATGAAAGCCAGCCAGGTTGAAAACACCAATTCCGACAAAATTTAGGTGCTGATTTAAAACCACAGACTGAAAGCCTGGCCCTGCAGTATTTAACACACTTGCAAAGAACATAAATGGACACTCTGCCACCTGCTTGAGCCTGAAGAGAGGCTGTGCTTCTACTGCTGCAATAGCTTTGAGCAGACTATGACCAAGTTGCCTTGACATTCTGCACAAGTGCGGAGGTAGCTCTGAACAGGTAAGTTTTGCAGCAATGTGGCTCATGCTGGTTTGTCACACTATCAGCTCCAGGAGTCCCCAGTCATCCCTCTAGAATTCCCACACAGTTTGGCTGAGTCACAGCTTGTCACGATGGGCTGTGGGCAGGATCATGAACTGACCTAACTTCAAAACAAGACAAACCCAAGAGACATGCCCCATTCTCCAAGCTTTACAGGAAGCCACATCAGTGATCCCATGCACAGTGCATGGGATCTGCACAGCTGTAGACTCTACATAGCAGCATGGGGATGCCCGTGTCTGTGATCAGACAATACAGTCTGGAACAGGAACCACACACTTAGAAAACTATGTTTGCTGGAGATCAGCATTACTGAACCTAAAAAAAGCAGATGATGCAAGTTACTAACAACTACTTACAGAGAGATCACCAAAACCAGAGGTGATGAAAGGCAAGGAAGCACAGAAGCTCTAACTCCTAGTGATTCACACAGCTCTTCTTAGTATCTGAAAAAGCTGGAGAGGGAAGAGAGCTAAGCCATAGGTTCTGAGGATCAACGGTGCAGGCAGACTGCTCAGGATGCCCTGGGTAATTCAGGGCCTGGGCAGTGGAGGGAGGCCTCATCTCACTGTTCTGGGGTAAAGGCCTGGCTCAGGTTAGCAACCCCCCGCAGAAACAACCTACCCAGCTGTGTGAAACCTCCCTCTGCACAATCTCAACAGAAAAAAAGAAAAGCTAGGAGACTAAAAAAAAGCAACACAGTATCTTCCAATTGCTTTTCCACGGATTCAGTGCTGTGTAAGCAAAAAAGAATAGCAGGAACCCCCATACCTTAACGGTCTGATATACAGAAAATAGCCTTCTAAGGACTTCAGGGAGTGGCAAGTGATTTTCTGGACTCTGAAACTTTAGCAACAGAGAGAGAAGATATTCCTGGGCACAGGTATGGAACAGGCTGTGGACAGGAAACAGTGATGTCTCTGTGACTTCAATATGCACTAGTGGGTTACACACATTATTATTACACCTGCTGTCTGTTCCCTACGCAGGGGATTAAGACCCCCACATATGCCTTTTATTGATTTTAAACTTCAGCAATTCCTCCTAGTTCCAAACAGTTGCGGTGCTTGAACTGGAACTGTTACAGCCTCAGCTGTCATCTATTTCACGTGCCACGTTAAAGCAGCACCTGACACTGAAAGCACCTTTTACTTACTTGCACAAGTTCCAGAACCTCAACTCTCCCTTCAGCAAACAAGCAGTTTTATAATCTCTACACTATCTTCCTCCCAGGAAGGTTTCCCATTATTAAAACAGAAATGGGACAGAAGAAACTTTCATTCCTAGGGATACTCAGCATGTAATACTGATATATAGGCTCTTAAATGTAGCTTTATTTATTTTGCTAGCTGGAAAAAAAAGAAAAGGTGTAATTGGGTAAATGTTTGACTTCTGCTTTCTTTCCCCTTTGCATGTAGCTGTCACAAAAATGCTGAATCCTACAAATAAGTGTTGGAATCTAAATTCACACTGATGCACAGAAACTAACATGGTTTGCTGCAGAGCAGCTCTCCCAGGCTTTCTTTATTCAAGGGAGGCTGATGGCAAAAGGAGGCTTGGATCATATTTCTTTCCTCTTCTTTCTCCCCTATGCTACAAAAAGAAGATGATTAGGAAAACAGACCTATCACTATGGCTTTGAACATTTTGTCTTTTATTGTATCTTGATTATTTGCACTACGTCCATTAATACAATGTTAACAATCTTTATGTGTTTCTATATCTCTTCACAAGGGATAAAGCCATTCTTTGTGTTAGAACACTAAAGGGATTGAAATTATCAAGGTTTTCTTCTTCACGCACCAGCACTGCCAGTCAGTCAAGCTGCAGCAAGAAGCATGTGGTGCTTTGCAACAGCAGCCCAGCAAGCAGGGAAATCCATACATGCAAATCCCAAAGAAAGCACACACTGAATTTTTAGTTTAACTAAAAAAAGAAGACATTTCTGCTCAAATTAGCACTGAAGCATCAGTCAAGAGACAAGAGACAGGCACTTTGTGCAGGGTAGGCTCAGGTGGTGGATCATCACTAAATCTTTCACTTTTCTGCTTTTATTTCAAATCCAGCTTAGGCTATTAGAAATTAAATCTGCTCAGAGGCTT